ATGGGGGGGGCGGGGACGGGAAGGGAAAGGTCAGTGGCGACGCCGGCGGAGGGGGAGCGGAAGGTCAGGGCGGCGCGGAGCGGAAGTGGGAGCCGGAGCCTCGTCCGCCATTGTGGGGAAAGCGGAGCCTGGAGCGGGGGGGGGGAAGCGGCGCTGCGGCCGGCTCCTTCCAGTGGGAACTCGATCGGTGGCGGCGGCGGCAGCAGTAGCGAGCCCAGGCGGCGGCGGTGACAATCAGGGCGGCGGAGGAGGAGGAGGCGGTTAGCAGCGCGGCTGGGCGGGCGAGCGGGCGGCCCCGGCGTGCGGAATCACTCGAGGCCCAGGCGGAGCGGAGCGAGGGGATCGCGGCTCCCCGTGAAGAATGTCAGCCACCAGCGTCGACCAGGTACCGGCCGCGGGCGGCGGGGGGGCGGCCGCCCTCTTCCCTGCCTGCTTCCCTGCCTGTTCCTCTCCCCCGGCCCGTCCTTACCCCCGGCGGGGGGGGCGGTGGCGGCCACCTGCACCTTCCCTCGCCGCCGGGGCGGCGCGGTTCGCGGCCTTCTCCCTCCCTCCTTCCTTCTTTCCCTCCCTCCTTCCCCCCTCGCCGCCATGGGGAGCGGCGATCCGCCGGAGCCGGGATGGCGGGCCCCTTTCCCAGCCCCTATTTATAACCGCTGATCCGCGCCAGAGCCGCTCCGCCTCCCCGCCCGCAGGGCCCCGCCGCCGCTCGGCCCCGCGCCTCCCGGCCAGCCGCCCCGCCGCCCCGGCCCCTTTGTGTCTCCCCGTCCCGCAGCCCAGGCCGAGCCCCTCCGCCTTCCCCTCCTCTCTCCCGGCTCCGTCTCCTCGGCCCTGCGCACCCCCGGGTTTCTCCGGCTCCTCCTCGGCGCATCCTCCCTCTTCGTGCCTTTCCCTCTCCTCACCCACCTCTTCTCCCTTCGGGCCTCGGCTTTCTCCTCCTTCCCCCGCGGCCTCCGCCGCTCCCAGCTGTTCTCCCTCGCTTCTCTTTCCCTGCGCTGGGCCGCGCTTTTTTTTTGGGTGGTTTTTTTTGTTTGTTTTGGTTTTTTTATTTTTTTTTTTTAGGCGCCACTTTAGGGAGCTTGGAGTTTGTTGGGTTTTATCTCTGCTGGCCTTTCCTTCTGGCTGGAAGCTCTTCTGTCTTGGTCTCTGCTTCCTCCCAGGGCCTCTGCCACTCCCCAAAAGTTTTGGCCCTTCGGTCTCCTGCCCCCCCCCC